GTAGGATCTATAGTTTGATAGATATTACGAAGATGATTTGAGGTTTCGCCAGGAGAACGTGTATATGCGGCAGCATATGTAAAGTTAGCGTCAACCCTCACGGGGTGAAAACAGTATTTCCGGTCTCGAAGTTTTCATAATAAAGCCAATGATCAAATGATCAACAGTGATATCTGCAGTACTCATCCACTAAAAAACATCAGTTTATCCTTGTTAATTACACAACATTAATTGGTTTGAATTGTGTACAATGCTTTTGTATTTTTCCCATAGGTTTTTCCCTTTCGATTCTGAGAGAAACATTTATTTTTTCAGAGGTTTTGATAGGCTAAAACATCGAACTACCCATAATCCTGGATGTTTTAGCCGCAATGCACGTCGGGATATGGTTTTTATGCGATATGAAATCGGAAAACATTTAAAAGAAAAAAAAAAAATACTTTATTCCGAGTGTTCTTGCTTTTCTCTTTGGAAGTCAGTGAAATAACGGCATTGTAATAAACAATTCGGCTGCATTAAATATTACACATCTGCCGTAGTTCTTTATTTATAGAGCCCTGGTGAGAAGACTTCTGGACAAACTGGAAGAAATGCCGCCGAAACTGAATATGTGACGTGGATCTTAAATATATCAGCAATTACACAATATCTTACATTTATTTTCACACAATACGTCTCCTTGCAGTATCAACACTAATTCGGCTGACTTTTATATTTGATCCAATTGGTAGATAGGTTATATTTACACCATAACGGTGCACAGCTAATAGAAAGGGACTTGTAGTTTTTAAAGATATTACTGATTTTCTTTGAATTAAAGAATGTAATATACTGAGTTGAGAGAATAGTCAGGGGTGATGGGAGACACATCTATGGAATCAGAATTTCAATAGCTGATATTATTATGTTTTATTAAAGGTGGGGTAGGTAATTTTGGAGAAACCAGCTCGAGTGCGCTAGAATTTGAAAATACACAGCCGAAAAAAATCGGCCACTTCCTTACATCCGGCTTTCACACCAGCGCTTTTCCCTTTCTAGCTCCGAGCTAGAGCTTTTCTGGTTCAGCTCCGGTTTCCCTTTTCTGCTCCCGCTTTGTTCACACCACTCAGAGCCGGGATGGTGCTGCCGCTGCTGCGTCATGACGTCACCGATTACATCGCTGATTTGCTCCCCAACGGCGCTCACAACAACAACAACAACGGGGGACTGCGTCGGGTCGATGATCGTGTTACTTTTAATCATACGAAGCCAGATTAAATTAAATAACGACTTCTCCAACCTTATACTTTTCTCCAGAGTGCCGTGGTTCATTGTTTATTAATGTGTTTCAGCGGCATTTACCGACCAATGCAGTGCTGGCTGCTCTTCCACGGGAGTTTATTTAGTCTGAATTGACGCTGTTTGGCATCACAACGCTGTTATGAAAGTTTCTCTGGTATAACATGGGTGATGTTAGCATAGCAACCAAAGCTAAACTGACTACTTGCTAAGCCGTTTTCTACAGGCAGATTTTACCGGCGTATTTTTCATTATGATTCTACTTGTGATAGTCGGACATGACAACTTGTGCAGCCCATGTATTAATTCCATCCGATAGCTGCTATAATAACAAACAAAACGTCTGCCTGCTCTCCACAATGATCAATAACAGCGAACGGATGGTCAAAGTAAGGTACAAATAAACAGAATCACACGAAGCCTGGTTAGTGTTGCCTGACTTTATAAAGTGTGTGGTTGCCTTCTAGTCACTTTGCTCAGCGCTACTGCTTGTAGGCAGGCATGACGAGACTCTTCAGTCGAACCATGTTCAGGGGAGGTGGGTTTAGTTTCCTGCACGCCTCGATGTAAGAGAGACGTAAGCGACGCCGCCTCTTAGCTCCGAAGCTCTTGCTTCTAGACCGACAATCTTTTGGAGCTGGAAGTGAACCGGATTCCAGCTCCGAGCCGGCGCTGAAAACGCGTTGGTGTGAAAGGGGCAACAGAGCCCCTCCTCGCGCACATGACCAATGAGGGCGCAAGATAAGTTTGTGCACAGATGGAAGGCTGACAGGCTGACAGGCCACCCAGTTATTTTAGCCCTAACCCTAAGCAAAGAGAAAAGCAAGCACACTCGGAATAATGTATTATTTTTTTTTTTTTAAATGTTTTCGGATGTCACATCGCATAAACACCAAATCCCAGCGTGCATTGCGGCTAAACCATCCAATAATCGAGCTGAGGATCTTGCCTACGTCTGTTTCCGGTTTCATTTATGAACGATGTATTTTGTTATACACACATTCCTTCACATTTAAATTTAAATGTACATTAAAGTATTTCGTGAGGCCTTCTAACATGTTTTTAAATATAACTACGGTTGTAGTTGAAGAGTTTGTAAATTAACATGAACCGAAGCTGTTGCCTGTTTCAATATACAGTCTATGGTTGCTACAGAGGATTGTGAGTAATGTAATGTCTTCGGCCATCCAAAACTCATAGAAAACGACTTGTTTCTCAGAATTGAAGGGGAAAACGTGACAAAAGCATTGTACACTAAAACCTATCAATGTCGTTTAATTAACAAGGATAATCTGGTGTTTTTGAGTTGATGAGTCGTGGAGATATCACTGTCAAATCAATCGACAGTAAGGGGAATACTTACTTCCGGGTGTACAATTCTCAGTTATCCAATGGGAATGGACGCTCACATTGCCTTTAACCTCTTAAGCCCTGAGCCTGTTTTTCAGGTCTCAGGCTCGAAAATGACATTCCCAGAACAAATGACCATATCTTCCCTTCTAAAAGGGTTAAATTAATAATCTTTATTCTCAAAGTAATGATAAACCTGTGAGTTGGATGTAGAAAAGTCAGAATCAATCTATCTATCTATCAATCTATTTTAAAGAAAATTCAGATTTTACATAGTAAAAAACTGTAAATTATAGTGTCCGTCCAAAAATTCTTTTTACTTATAGTGAAAACTACCCTTGGATGATGGGTTAGTAGACTAAAAGCTTTAGGAATCCAAAGTACAACATATAATAAGTACCCTGTTTCAAGATTGATGCAAAACAAGGGAAATTTGACCTTTTTAGAGAGATTTAGCCAAAAACCCCCACTTCTGGGGTCATTTGGGTGGATTTGACCTATCTCCCCCTTGCTCGATTTTGATGAATGAAATCTCTTTATAACCGCTAGAGCCAATGGAATCGAGGGAAAGTTATATACACACCAAAACGTTAACAAATAAGGAGTGAGAGTGACGCGTTACCAAAACCGGAAGCTGCATACACTCTGGTGGCTACCATTAGCAGCTAACTTTTCCGCTCCGATTTTTACATAAAAAATTGAATTATGGATTATAAATAATTTCTTCAAAGGCACAGGTACATTATCAACCTATGGATCAACAGTTGTAGTATTTTTTTTTTTCGTTTTAATGCCATTGAACATGTCTTTTGACCTAATTGACAGCTACGGTGAGACGATCTGCCGTAAAAGCTCCGTAAAGGTACGTGTTGTGATGTCTGTGTTTGCTTCCCCTGTCGCAAGTTCGGATCGCTCAGTGATGATACTATACCTAAATAATCAGGGGAGTCTCAGCTTTAATCGGCTATATTGTATGTGCAGCTACGATAAGTAATAAGGGTATTTTTATCTTGAATTGTGTGCCGCAGTGCGTTAGATCTTTTTCGCTCAGGAGTCATTTAGACGCTTCTTATGAGACTTGTGTTTTGTTTTGGTAAAAATGGTTCACATCTTGTCACAAACGAGCTGAGGACCAAAATGCAACACACGGGAAACCAGGGATAGTCGGTAACCAGCTTTATTTAAGGCAATAAACTGGTAGGAGACGAAAAGGCAGATAGTAGGCAAAGGGCTGGTCGGGGACAGGTGAGGGTTCCAGGAGAAGGCAAGACGGGAGTCGCAGGTACAGACCGGGTCAGGGAGCAGGCAAGGCAGAATAGTCCGGGTACAGGCAGGGTCAGGAAACAGGCGAGGCAGGCTGGTCAGGGACAGGCAGGGTCGAAACCGGGAGAGCAATCTGGAGGGTAATGCGGGAAAGGCTGGCATGCTGCAAAGTACGATCTGGCATTGAGGTGAAAGTGAAGTGGGCCTATATACTAATGGAGCTGATGGGTGTAACAGAGTGAGAGAGAGAGACAGGGTGTGGCTACCAGGTGACTAAGGAATGTTAATGCAGAAAATAGGTGAGTGAGAAAGCAGAACTGTGACAGAACCCCCACCTTAATGGACGGCTCCTGACGTCCAAGACAAAACTACGAGAACAAAATTAAAAAATCAACAAAAAACCTACAGACACAGGGTGGAAGGTGGGGGTATGGGGTCCAATGGGGGGACCGCCGTGCTTAAGAGGTTAACAGCCGCCGACACAAACGAATGCCGTGCTTCCATGAGCGTCAAATCCCGCCGCAGATGGGAATACATTGCAATCAGTTGAAAACTATTTGCGTCCCTTTATGAAGCTGAAGGAGCCTAGGAGCGTCCCAACTGCACGCCACGGGACCCTGACCAAGAGTCGCTCCTGGACGTTTATGGAGTGAGAGTGTGTTGGTATATCAGTATGTAGTGTCTCTACTTTAAAGAGTCCTCTCCTGCTGATGTTCAGGTGTATATCAGTATGTAGTGTCTCTACTTTAAAGAGTCCTCTCCTGCTGATGTTCAGGTGTATATCAGTATGTAGTGTCTCTACTGGGACATGTCTTCATGCTTTAATGTTCAAAAAGCTCTTTATTTTTCTCATACTGCCTGTGCTGCAGCACCTCTTTTCACCCTCTGTCTGAAACCAGAGCCCAGTCTGCTCTGTGGAGTGTGTGGGAAATACACTTTGGGAATGTAGCCTTTGCAGACCATCAACATGCACAACAACCTTTATAACACCCTACAGGAAAGGGAAAAGCCCAGAAAGCACAACAGGGCCCTTTTTCAAAGCTAAAGCTATGTAGATAATACTTTTATATTTACAATCTGAAACGCTGCTGCTGTTTGTCTCTGAGCAGATGGGACGACTGGAGTGTCCTCTGCTGCTCGTTGTAGGTGAGGACGATCAGAACTGGCCCGCCCACGAGTGTGCAATGGACGTGAGTTAATCAACATTGAAACACTGAAAACATGGATATGATACATGATACATGAACAACCCATTTTTGTATCCTAGTTTTTTGCCATGTACATTTGATTAAATCTCATTCTGTTTTAAAACACAGATATATATCAAGGATCAAACTGGTGTAATAGTTTTTATTCTCTTTTTCCAACCAAATTTAAACCCATTTATGTTTTTCTCTTCTCGGACCAAATGTTTTTTGTTTTGTTAATAAGCTGGCTTAATATTTCACTAAGATCTCGTTCAAAACAGGGCATTGTGAGCGGACTGAAATATTTGCAGGATAATTTTGTGGACTTGCACGGCTCTATACGTTATCATAGTACTTGCTTTTAATTGTGGGTCATCATTATTATTTAACAGTGAGCACATGCAACCTTTTTCAGTCTAAAATACATATTAATGACTTTTTTTATTTAGTTGAAGCTTATCATTATATTATTGATGGTCATTGGAGGCAGTGTGGCCCGAGATATACAGTTAAGAGATGATGGCAACAGAAACAATAGAAGAAGTAAAAAAAAAAAGGTTGTGAGATGATCTAAGACATATGACATTATTATGTGTTTAACTTCCTGTTTTGCAGATGAAAGAGACGATGGAGCGGGCGGGGAACAGCCACCTTCTGACTGTCCTCTCCTATAAGAATGCCGGTCACCTGATCGAACCTCCATTCATGCCGTTCGCCCGAGCCAGCTCCTTCAAAACGGTCACTAACCCACCAACCAAGGGTAGGATACGATAATACTTTAATGGTCAGATCAAGTCTGAAATGTGACTTGCATCACAGCAGCTCCATGTGTAACATCAACAGACAAATTTCAAGACACAATACATGACATTCTTTTTTTTTTGAACATAACAGCACTGAGAGAAAACATGCTCAAAGACCCTTTAGCGTGCATTTGATCTGGCTCTGTATTTACTGTGAGGATTGACTGGAGCACAAAGTATGCTTCAGTCTGACTTTATTGAATCGTGGGACCCTGTATCTCCCATTAGATGGTAGCAGTTCATATTTTCTGTTCAGAACATGGTTTGTGTCCGAGATGATGTTGTTGGACAGCCTTATTAAGTTGTTATGAAAGGCTGAGTCATAAAGTCTATAACAGGGTTGACCAACAATCTTTGAGCATATTTTTAACAGGTTGAGCTGTTTTGATTTTAAAGCTGTTGACAAACACTTGTACCAGGTAGTATTGCAGTACTGTACTGTATTTCTCAGTGAATCAAAGTTAGGGTGCTTACATTTAGGACTTTGAGTTTTGACTGCTATAATTTGGTTTGTTGTCTTTGCAGTGATGGCTCTGTGGGGCGGAGAGCTGGTGGCACATTCTCGCGTTCAGGAAGACGCCTGGAGGAAGATGCTGGTCTTTCTGAGGGAGAATCTGTCCGGCGGCATGAAACATGGTGCTTCATTTTCCAACTTGTAATCAAGACCATCCATCCATCTTCTCCCACTTATCGGTGGTCGGGTCGTGGAGGTAGCAGTTCCAGCAGAGAGCCCCAAACTTCCCTTTCCCTGTAACCAAGACTAATAATCACACTAACTGGGACTTCTGGCGCCTTGGATTCAGGAAGTAAAAGTCCGCTCTATTTTTTTCCTCATTCTTAATCATGATGGGGGGGAATTCATGTTTTTCTTACAGAAAAACAAAACTCATCTATCTCAGTCACCGTGGTGGCCAGAGAAACAGACTCCATGCCTGCATTTGTTTTTCATGCCAGAAAAGTGACCTTTAATTGTAATTATTATACTTCATAATCAAGTTGATTACAGCTTAATGGTTGAATCAGTACAACGTATTAATAACTTGTGGTAATATTTAAGTTTATTTATATAGCCAGTGGGTGATTTTAGGGTGGATTCCATCACCCTTGTTCAAATAGAGTCCAAAATACAACCTCCATTATAGAGAGAGTAGGGGCAGAGGGGGACTCTAGTTTAATATATGTTAATCTACCTGACTCATTAATCCTTTCTGACATTTTAATTGACTGTTTTGCATGAATACGTCGTAAAATCCAGATAATGATTAGCCATTGTTGGAATTTCTGTATTTTCAAGAAGTTATTTTCTGTTTTGCCTCGTTCGGACCAAGAGTAAAATAAAAATATTTTCTGTTTTAAAATTCCTGTCTCCTGCATTTTGGTCCACCCTCTTGTCACGACCTTCGTCCTCCTACCCGTCCTTCAGAGCGTCTTCGCCCGTCTGGTCAGCCTTATGGGAGTACTGCCCCCCCTCTTACAGTGCAGACGCTTTTCTGCTTGCTCTTGCCTCTGCTTACTTTTTTATGCTGATTTTCTATTTTTCTTTTGTGAATACTTCGAGGAGTGGCTCCTGGACATTAACGTATCACTGGGACAGTTATTCTTCGTAAATAGACGCAGGCTTTCAGCCATATTTCAATATTTTTACGACGACCTCAGTCTTACAGTAGCGTGGGAGGACGAATAACAGGCAGAGCCCAGCGCTCTGAAATCTGTGATGCGACCGGCTGGCCTGCATTGTTATCACCCAGGAAGAGCGCCTCTTCAACCCTTCTTCATACTAGGAAACAGTCGTGGACAGCTGCTAAAGGGAGAACTACAAACAATCCTGCTAAACCACTGAGTGTGCCAATCCAGAACAGATACGCTACACTGACACAGAACCGGAGATCTCTTTCTGATGAGCTGGATAACCTGTCCTCTTCACACAGCAGGGTAAGGACCAATAGCTACTCCAAAAGTAAAAGCCTTGAGGGAAGGCTAAACGACTGGGCCTGAAACTCTGATTGGGTGACTCTGCTGTAAGACATGTACAAAGTCTGTGTAGTAAGAACAACACCAAAGTACTTTGTTTTCCCAAGGATATGGTCTCTGACTTGGCTGAGAAGATCCTGCATATTGGGGCTGAACATCCGACTGTGAAAAATTAATACTGCACATTGGAACAAATTATGTTGTGAAACAACAGTCAGAAGGGCTGAAAGAAGACTTTAAATGTGTGTTGGAAACTGTCAGCTCTCTAAATGCGGAGGTGTTCATCAGTGGCCCTCTACCGCCAGTCAGAAGAGGAGTGGAGAGATTCAGCAGATTGTTTGCACTGAACAAGTGGCTTTCAACTGCCTGTATTGATCATTCTGTACATTTTATTGACAATTTTAACTTTTTCTGAGACCGCAGACATCTTTTTAAGGCAGATGGAATTTGCCTGAACAAGTCAGGAGTAAAATTGTTTATCTCTAACATAGTCAACTGCCTGCATCATCAATCTGTTCCCTCTGCCAAGGACAAGCAACAAGAGGAATCAAAACAAGAGTATCACTGCACCCGCCTGAGGAATGTTTTGATTATGGGAGACCTATGACACAAATGGACACAAAGTTTTTCATTGCATGGCCTCAGATCTACTTCATATAGTAAACAAATCTCTTCACTCAGGTGTTTTTCCACAGGCCCTGAAAACTGCAGTCATTAAACCGTTATTAAAAAAGAATAATCTAGATGCTTCAGTAATGAACAATTACAGGCCCATATCAAACCTCCCATTTTTAGGTAAAATCATTGAAAAAGTTGTTTTTCAACAGTTGAGTAATTTCTCGCATTTAAATAACTGTTTGTTCATGTCCAAACCACAGCACTGAGACTGCTCTTGTAAAGGTCTTCAATGACATCCACTTAAACACAGACAGTGGCAGAACTTCAGTGTTAGTATTATTAGATCTCAGTGCTGCGTTTGGAACTGTTGACCACAACATATTACTAGACAGACTGGAAAACTGGGTGGGACTTTCATCAACAGTTGTAAATTGGTTTGAATCCTACTTAAAGGACAGAAACAACTTTGTTTCTATAGGTAAATACACATCTGAGTTGACAAATATGACATGTGGGGTTCCTCAAGGCTCCATCTTGGGACCTCTTCTCTTTAACATCTACATGCTGCCACTGTCTCAGATAATGAAAAACAACAAAATAAGTTACCATCGCTATGCGGATGACACCCACATTTACATAACCATTTCACCAGGAGACTATTTTCCAATTAAAACACTGAGTAAGTGCATTGAACAAATCAATGACCGGATGTGTCAGAACTTTCTCCAATTAAACAAAGATAAAACTGAGGTAATGGTTTTTGGAGCCAAGGCAGAACATATAAAAGTTAGTGCTGAGCTTCAGTCTGCAATGTTCAAAACAACAGATGAAGCCAGAAATCTAGGTGTAGTCATGGACTCTGACCTGAGTTTCAACAGTCACATTAAAACAGTTACTAAATCAGCCTACTATCACCTAAAGAACATATCTAGGATTAAAGGACTAATGTCACAGCAGGATTTGGAAAAACTTGTCCATGCTTTTATCTTCAGTAGACTCGCCTACTGTAATCGTGTCTTTACAGGTCTCACACATTTTTTTGCAGTGTTTGATTCATTTCTGTTCTGTTTTGTCTCGTCTGGAACTAGCTTGCAATATGGTATTTTCTGTTAACAGTTCCTGTCTCCTGCATTTGTGTCCAACCTGCGCTGCTTACTGTGACAGAGAATCCAACCAACTCATGTTTGTACAGGAACAGTTTTTTCATTTCATTTCAAACCTTTATTTATCCAGGTGTATCCCATTGAGATCATTGATCTCTTTTTCAAGGGAGACCTGCTCAAGTAGGTTCCACATGAAACATTAAAACATAAACAGAACAACAAAAAGGACATCATGCAGCATCTTTACAGGGATTACAATTTACATAACTATCCACATGAACAGGTACCAACAGCTTCCGATTGAGTAGCATCCAACCGAGCTTTAAAAACATTTAGTGGCACCAGATTGCTCAGTTTCCATTTCAATTGCAGACTATTCCAAGACAGTGGAGCTGCGCATCTCAATGCTATCTTCCCTAAGACAGTCCTAGCAGTTGGCACATTTAATAAAACCACTGTGATACGCAGCATCTAACTTGACCAGGCAATTTGCAGGTGCATTAATATCAATCAAATCACAATAGTCCAGCACAGGTAAAAAGGTCACAGTGACTAGCCTTTTCCTGGCCTCGAGCGAGAAACAGGACTTGTTCCTGTAGAAGAAACCTAGCCTAACCCTCAGTTTTTTAAGCAGGTTATTGACATGACGTTTAAAAGTGAGACAGTCATCAAGCCAGATACCAAGGTATTTGTAACAGGTAACCACTTCAAGTTTTATTCCTTGCGTAGTTACAATATCTAAAATAGGCTCTGGTGTCTTTTTAGCTTTTGAAAAGAGCATTACCTTGGTTTTATCAACATTTAAAAGAAGCTTAAGTTCAGAGAGCTGAGTCTGAATAATGTTAAAAACAGATTGCAATTCAACAACAGCCTCCTTAATGGAGGGACCTGCACAGTACATAACGGTATTGTCCGCATAAATATGTAAGGTTGCTCCATCGACATTTTCACCTAAACTATTGATGTAGATGGAGAATAAAAGTGGACCTAAAGCAGAACCTTGAGGAACACCATTAGTAATGTTTAACCACTCAGAGGACAGCCCATCAAAATGAACACATTGGGACCTTTCAGAGAGGTAGTTCACAAACCACCCTACAGCATGGCTGGATATGCCAATACTGAGTAGCCTCTGCTTTAAGATGCGATGATCGACGATATCAAACGCTTTGGAAAGGTCAATAAATAGAGCTGCACAACTCTGCTTATTATCTAAAATACTTGCCACATCATTCACCACTTTCATTGTGGCAGTGATGGTGCTATGTTGCTTTCTGAAGCCTGACTGATGTTTAGACAGGATGTCATTTGTACATAAAAACACCTTTACCTGTTCACTCACTAGGTGTTCAAGAACCTTAGCCAGAACTGATAATTTAGAGATGGGCCTATAATTATTTAATAAAGTGGCCTCCCCACCTTTTAGTAGAGGCAGGACATACGCTGACTTCCACAATTTTGGAATTGTATTTGTGCTGAGGGAGAGGTTAAAAAGAGTAGTGAGAGGTGGAGCAATAAAATCTGCAGCTATCTTTAAAAAGAAAGGTTCTACGTTGTCCGGGCCGGCCGGTTTCTTAGGATCTAACTTGGTTAAAGCTTCACGAACAACATCAACAGTAAAAGGAGTAAAACTGAAAGGGTTTTCCAAAACACGTTTTTCAGAGTCACAGACTGTGGTGTTCACAGAAGCAGAGTTAGTGACAGAATCAAACAGAGAGCCACAGGACACAAAATGCTCATTAAAACAATTTAACATAGTGGCCCTGTCCGATATAGTGCCAGATGCTGTGGCAATGCACGGAGGTAGCTCATTACGGATATCACCGGTGGATATCGATTTTATGGCTTTCCAACATTTTCCAGGATTATTCAGGTTCTTTGTGGTAACTGACAGATAATACTTAGACTTAGCACTTTTTATTTGTGATGTGAAGCTATTTCTTAGCTGCCTAAAGTGTAGCCATTCTACCTCTGAGCCTGATTTCCTAGCCTTTGCCCAGGCCTTGTTTCTCTCATGTAGGAGACTAGATAATTCAGCAGAAAACTCTAAATTTACGCAGGGGTGCATGTCTAGCTATAATTTCCATAAAACCAAGATAAAAATAAGACCATGCAGTTTCTACATCAGCACACAGATCGATTTTACCCCAATCAAAATCAAACAGATCATGCTCCACAAAATGTTTTTTGTCTCTCTTACTGATAATGCGAGGTTTAACCTTTTGGACTTTTGTGTCCCTATTTGTGGCTACAACACAGTGATCACTCAGATCATTTGCAAATACTCCCACAGATGAGTATTTATGGGGAACATTAGTTAAAATGAGATCAATTAAGGAGGATTTATTTGGGGACTTAATGTTAGGGCGAGTAGGACTGTCTATAATCTGAGTAACATTCAGAGAGATACAAAGGTTTTTAAAATCCTCTGACACAGAAGTTAACCAGTCCCAATTAAAATCACCAAGCAGCACTATTTCCTTGTAGTCAAGTTGAGATAAAAGTTTTGCCAATGAAGATAAAGAGTCCTTGACAGCTGAGGGGGGTCTGTAGCAGCCCACCACCATGACCTGTTGACCCTTTGCTACTTCGATATTTAAGGCTAAAAATTCTAGTTGTTTATTAATAGATTTGGAAACCATCTTGGTTACACAAAACTTATTTTTCACATAAATGGCAACGCCACCACCTTTTTTAGGACGGTCGGTACGATATACACTATAACCACTTACGTAGATGTCAGAGGCCAAAATAGATTTATCTAGCCACGTTTCTGATAAGACAATGACATCAGCATCAGTCGAGCTCGCCCAAATGCGGACAAAATCTAACTTAGGTAACAGACTGCGCACATTTAAGTGAATGAATCCCAACCCAGATCTAGAAATAAAATCAGCAGGAGTTTGATCCGTTCTTCTCCCTTGTTTGCTAACGCTAAGCCCTGTCTAATAATTTCCATAACTGGGCAGATAAAGGATTTTTTTACATTTCAGATTTTAACACGAAACCTGGTAGCCTCTATCCTGCTAGCAATCGTTCTCAACTCCAGCCTGCCCCTCTGTCTTTCTGGCTCTGGTTTATTTTCATAAAACACCCTAACAAAGTACTGTGCGCAGTAAAATCACCACAAAATTCTATAATTTGCTTGTGTTAATCCACATGCTTCATTCAATATGCGAAAGTTTAATGTATTACAAGGATCATATTGATTGACCTCATCCCATTCTTTACAAATGGTACATTCCCTCCACCTTTGATCGAGTGATGTTGCTGTGGGAGGAGATTAAAGTTCCACAAAATATTAACCTGAACTTGTTTGCTATAAAAAAAGAACCTGTTCTTGCAAAGTTTGATTAGGTCATTGCTTTGTTTGCAGACGCTTAGACGACTTCAGAACCAAGAGGAGATCAAACCAAGAAGGCAAACCTGAACACAAGCTTGAAAGGTCAGTTAGTGTTTATTTAACATTGACACTTTTTGTGGACTAGTTGTGACTGCAGAGCTCTAGAATTTTGATTTGATTTTTAGCCGCTTGCCCCTTCTGAAAGGGGGACAACAATGCCGAACATGGAGTATTTTAAACTTAAGTACTGTGGTAGAGGACGCATTCGGATACTATACTTAAGTTAAATGATTTCACTGATCCACAGTGTCTTTACACTCATACTGCACAGCATTTCAGAGGTAAAAGACTGTATTTTATTATAACACTTGTCCGGAAGCTATCGGAATCAGAATTCAGTTTTTGCCAAGTAAGAAGAAAACAGGCTTCTGTATGACATTGTTTTTTATTGTAATATCTGCAAATCAGAGCTAAGCCAGAAGGCAAAGCTCTCTCTAGCAGTGTATCCTAATTTATATTCTTACCTCTGGTCATGAAGTGTTAATCATGACTAAAATAACAAGTCCATGGATACTTAGACTTTCTCTGGAGGTTGGCTGGAATATTCCTTAGGGATAATTTGAGAAGTTCATTCATCCATGAGGGACTTTGAGTAGAGACCGCTGCTGCTTTTTCGAAGAAAGTATCCAATTGAGGTGGTTCGGGACCAGTTGGACACCTTGGAATCCCCCATCAGAGCTGGTTAATGTGGTCAGGGAAAGGGAGGTTTTGGGCCCTCTGCTGGAACTGCTACGTCCTTGGACCCGAGGTTAGGGTTAGGGTTTAGATGGATAGTAGTGTTTTTAAGGTGTGTTTACCATTTATTTCCTTAGATTTTAGAGACAGCATTGTGTGAAGCTGTCGGTACAGCCGTCCAGAGGGCTTGTGGATGAGAAGTTCACCGTCTTGGTCCAGAACCTCCTCCCTGGGTTCCAGCTGACCATCCACGCCCTCCACCAGTGTGAAGACGGACACAGCTGGGAGGCTTTTGCTCACTACACTGCCGATGCCACCAGTATTGTGAACGGTAAGACCATCAAAATTCAGGAAGATGAATTTAGAACGATTACTAAAGTTTGTGAATGGCAGCAAAACATATTTTGTTATTAAATGATGGAGTTATATGTAAAAATAGAAAAAAGTCAATATGTTTTATCCATTTCACTCCCATAGTCTCACAGGATCCCAGTCTGGGCGGGACATATTCTGGGGTTGAACCGATGGGCCTGCTGTGGAGCCTCAGACTAGTTCCTGGCAGCAAAACTGGGCTCAGGTAAGCCAACAACCATGGGGCTGTTCAGATGACAGTACAGGAAAAAATATTATTATTAGGCCCAATTCCAAAACGACCCATACACCACTGCACTCTGTGACCAACTGAAGTCCGCCTGTATTCCGATCTCAGCTGAACGAGCCTCCTTCTGTCTCTCTGGTAGAAAGAGCAGCCGTCATAACATTTCGGAACCATAGTTTTGTGTCAGCATATCTTGGATGAAAAATAATCATTATTTATAGTAAATTAACTTCCATAAAAAGGTGTAGGGGATGGATTTAAATGAAGCCTTATGGTGCGTTCACACCGAATGACGAGATTGACGAGACTTGCGCCTTCGCGAGAGTTACATTTTGTCAACTCGAGCGTCAAATTCACGTGGCACATTCTCGCGTTAGCCAATCAGCGGTGAGGATCTCGGCCTGCCGCCACTGACGTTGAATCAGATAACCAAAACATCAGCCGTTAGCTGTTAGCCCTCAGAGCTCACAGCTCCTCATATTTGTTCAGAAACTGGAGAAAAGTTATACATGTACAAACCACAGACTGTCTATGGCATGTTGAATACAGTCGCTGCTTTATTTCTGTCTGTATGACATTGTTGTGAGTGTGGACGGAGCAGCTACATGTTAGATTAGTCTTATCGATCGATTACCGAAACACATATTAGAAAAGTGTTTTCGTCTGCCTACTTGTTTGAATGACGCTAGTAAACACAACTTCAAGCCGATTATATTCGCATCGCTTTAATCCGGTGTGTCCAGTGTGAACGTACCGTTAGAGTTACCTCATTCCCCTCATTCTTCAAGGTGGAGGAAGATGAACGTCCAGACTCCCATGGGGGTCACAATCTCGGTGTACCACGGTCACCAGACGGAGGGCTTCTTGGATCAGGTGCTGCTGGCCAGTGTGGTGGTAGAGCGATGGTACATGGCTCCCGGCGTCCGTAGAGTCCCGATAACAGAGGGCAGACTCACTGCGACCCTCTTTCTGCCCTCAGGTAGGACCTGGGGAGATTCTGAAGGGAGGTGTCCTCTGGGGGAAGTTTAGGGGTGACATTTGTGTGACATAGAAGAACATTAACAATAAAAATGAACCAAATTCAGCATTAGTTATTTGTAACTTTTGGAACAACAACATTTTTTATCAAACTGAATTCAAGAGTACATCGGTAAAAAGTAATATTATCGATTGCTCAATTACACAAATATTGATTGTATGTGGAAGACTTTGTGCTTTCAGCAAATATGGTAAAGCTTTCCTAATAATCCATATATCATTGTATAATTACCGAGCTAGTGATTGTATTTGGCGTCTTGAATCGTCTGAAGGACCTGGTCCTTTCCCCGGACTCTTGGACCTTTGGGGGTGGGGAGGGAAGTTGGTGGAGTACCGGGCAGCGCTGCTGGCCTCCCACGGCATCGCCTCCCTGGCCCTCAACTACCTCACACCTCAAATCACTAAGGAAACTGGTAAAATGGTGGACAATGATTACTTTGAGGTACATCAACCATGTATATCTTGAAAACATGAGATATAAATGTAAGATAGCGCTTTCTGACAAACAAAAAACGTTCTGCATCATCAATGTGCATCGACATATTTTTCTGCTGCAGACGGCCTATAGAGTCCTGGAGCAGCATCCTCAGATCCTCGGCAGCAGGATCGCCATGTTGGGTCTTTCCTTAGGCGCCGCTGTCACTCTCAGAAAGGCTGTTTACTCCCAGGTTGTAAAGGTAAGACCATCTATCTATCCATCCATCCATCCATCCATCCATCCATCCATCCATCCATCCATCCATCCATCCATCCATCCATCCATCCATCTATCCAACTGATGTCAGGTGTAGCCTTGCAACTGAATATAACTCCACACAATGAGAAGCACTCAATATAGCAATATAGTCCACCATGTCTGGAGGCTGCTCATTCCGTCGCAGCGAACTGCAAGGGATCAGAACCATGTCACACTTATATTATCTGACCGATAATCGGATTCTGTCCAGCTGTCTGATCTCTCTATGTCTGTGGTCTCCCAGCTCAGATGCGCAGTGTGTATCAGTGGGAGTCATGTGCAGCCGATTGACGGACCTGTGGAACAATTTAATGCTTTATTTAACAAGTAAGTTAATCTTCTTTCAGTTATCTCTATGCCTTTCCTGCTCACAAGAGATTTTAATTCGAGCCTGAGCTCGACAGAGTCAGAATGAAGAACTATTGTTTTCCTCGACTATTTGTATTAGGGTCTGAGACTGTTTTGTGTGACACCACACACAAAACAGGCCAAATGACGGGCTAAAGCCCAGAAAAACGGGCCAAAATCATGACAGCATGTAGCTCGTTCGTGCATAGTGATGTGGGCGCGATAGGATTATTATTATGATTATAATTTTTCGTCTTTGAACGCACTTTTGACCCCCGCAACCTTTATGAAAACTCACCAAATGTTACAAACACGTCAGAAATGGTGAAAATAGACGTTTGGAATGGGTTCCGTAACTTTGCGTAAACAAATGTGCAAGCCACGGCCACTTCTGTTTTTTAATGTAAACTCCCCCCACTTTCACTTTCACGTAAATGAACAAAATTGGATACGCATATCTAAAGTGCGGAGACGAACAAAAAAGCCTTTTGGAGGTGTATAAAAAAACGTACAGGAGGTCGGCCATTTCGAATTTAACATACCCTACTTTAAAGATCTCCTCCCAGGGATCTTTTCCCATCGACACCAAATTTTGAAAGTAGCGTCTCGAGACTTGGGGGATGAAAAGTTATCAAAATCGAAATTTTTCACCGCACGGCGTACTCGTTATGCGGCGCCCATTTTAACGTTTGTGTGATGCTAGGTGATCCCTCGACATGGAACACGATGATGTCATAACTCCAACTGACATGCTCCGAACGTCACATGATGGTTTACACTGCTGCCCTGAACAGCTCTACGTCAAATCTGAGGTTTCATAATGTGGTATTTCCATGGCAACGCAAGTGCAATGGACATGTTCCGATCGCCATCAAACTTCACTTGTATATCATCGGTCCACCCATCAACAGCTTTACGCTAAATCTGAGGTGTAATCATATGCTGTTTCCATGGTAATGCATCCCTCCCCATAAAACACGATGTTGTCATAACTCAAAGGAAAATTGTCCAAATGGCACCATACTTCAGATGATGGTTAATGGTCTGGCCCTGAACATGTCTATGTGCCACTTTTGAGTTTTCCGCACAACCAGGGCCGGCCCTGACCAATTTGCTGCCCTAGGCAAGATTTTAGCTGGCGCCACCCCCCACCCCCCCAAAATTAACACAAATACAAAATTAAAACCTATAATTGCACATAAAAAACATTATTTCAAAAAAAGAACCATTTCACATAAACCTCTGGTTTTTACTGTAATTTACATTAATTACAGCAGAGGGAGCTGTCCTAATCAAGTGAAGAGAGGGCTGTAATCTACTTCCAATTTTTGCCCTTTCGTGGGCCAAACTATCTCCTCCTACAATTGTTATCAGATCGACTCCAAATTTGGCCAGTACCATCAGAAGACTTGGACAATCAAAACTTATTGTGCACTTGTGGTTTTGTTTTGGTATGGCAAGGTTACTCTATAGCGCCCCCTAAAATACCTCAACATACTTATTTTGGGATTAGCGATGCATTTACGAAATTTGTCACAGGCGTTAACACGGAGGATCTTAAGTAACTGATATGGTTGTCGTGTTTCTGTGTGGCAGGATGGCTCTATAGCGCTCCCTAAAAACCCTTCACGAAGGTGTACGTGACACCTACATGTACGATATTTAAGAGGCATTTGTATCACTGGAAAATCTGATTCCCATGTAGGGAAATGTAGTGAAATCAGTTCAAGCGGTGGCAAGAAGTAGCTTACTTGCGCACTTGCACAAACAAATCAGGTTAATGATACAAAGTGGTTAGTGACGATGGCGATTCGAGGCTGCACATGGGTTCCTGAAGCTTGCAGCTTTCATTTTGATTGTAATTACCCTATGATCAATCTCTGGTGCCACCCTCAAGACAAACATTGAATCCTTTTCCTTTTCTTCTAAATCAGAAACATTGACAAGATTCACCTTGATAAGGATAACCAGTCGATCCTTAGAGATACGCTGCTGCCCATCCCAACAGACCCCTCACTCAAAGTGGACGTGAGTACCAGCAGACTCTTGAGAGAGTTTATATTTCTGATTTTTAACTGGGTTTTTGCTCTTCGAAGCCCTTTTTGTAAAAAAAAAATCATTTCGGTTGATATAGATAACAGTTTGTTTGCATTATGTATTATCACCTGTGTATTCACATTTGTTTTAGACTGAACAACCATGTACATTTTTGTATATGTATTTCTTCGTGAGATTGATCCTGTTGGACTCAGTACTAGTGAAACCCCCACAAGTACTATGAAGTACTTTTACTGTGTAGTTACTTTATAAACTCTGAATCTTGTGGTGCTTGAAGAAATACAGACTGGTTAAGCCGGCCAGGTTATATATATGCCCTTTTTTGCAATATTTATTAAAATGTCACTAGTTATTTAAACAAACCACTATCTGAGGATAATACAAGCAACCATAAAACGCCCTTTATCTCGAGAGCCATTGAAGCCCATGAAGAATTTATCCTTCGACAAATCTTTTCATCTGCTGTATTAATAAAGTTGCCACGTGTTTTCAAATTCAAGTTAAGGCACTATCTGTGCAGAACATGAACCTTTTAACTGCCAGACCAAGAAAAAAGCTATGGAACAATTATTTGTTTGCATTTCTTTATCAAATGGGCCACAACTAACCACAAACACATTTCTTTTTTTTTGACTGACCACACAGTTTTGTTTTTTTGAGCCTCTACCAACTGGTCGAGCTGGCCTTCTATGGTAAAAGTGCATTTTCAACAATCATCATACAGTACAGTATTTGTATGCATCAAACTCAAATAAAACACAAACTGAAATAAAAAAAAGTATTTTATGGAAAATTAGCAATATATAGATATATTCATAAAAGATAATAAATTATAATTGTAAAAAAAGGAAAAAAGTAATGTTAAGTGTTTTTCATAATAAAAAAAGACTTGCTCATCTTACTGTATATGCTGAATTGGCCTAACAAGAAACCACTGGCCTAACAGCAAATGTCTATATCCTGTGTTGGCCTAACTTGCTCATCTGTGTGCAACTTCGGGCTGAATGCCATGCATGAAAGGTGCTATATAAATTATTATCACTTTTTCACTCTGAGACTCATAAGGCAGTACTAGATGTAGTAATATTACCATGAATCTAGCCATTTATTTACCATATTTTATTGAAAAACATCTCTGAAACTCTGAAAAAGTCATATTGCTAGTTTACCATAAAAGGCCAATTCGACCGGTTGGTTGAGCATATTTTCCAAAAAATAATTACACCCTTGTTAAAACTTTTTTTGTGCATCAAGTTATCTGATTATGTTCACTCAGTACTCTGAAACTAAAATATGTCAAAAATGACAGGGTTACCTTACAAAAGTTTACCAAAAAGAGTGATTTCGTCAGCAGTGATTTTTAGCATGCCAACTTTCTCAGTTGAAGCTAGCTGAAGGGCATTCTATTCGAACCACAGTGACATCTATAGGTTGTTTTGTGCATAACATGTCAACCAAATGGTAGAGCTGGCTGAATCAGATGGAGTAAAACTTTTTTATTTATTTTTCAACAAGATATCAAGACACAAAATTGGCTCTACCAAATGGTGGCACTGGCTGTTAAAGGGTTACAAATATTCTTCATTTGCAGTATTTTATTTTAAAAGTGTTCAGAAAGACTGCATCTTCAACTATTTTAGGCAGAAAAACGTCTATTGACTAAACGCTTTTTAATAATTTACTATTTAGAAAGGTTTTTGTGAGAAATCATTTCAAAAGTAAACTTTTTTTTCCTTTTGTATTTAAATTTGAAATGTTTGCACCAAACATTATTAGAACCGCCAGAGATTTTTTATACCTAAAACCGCCACCTGGGTCAAATTGACCCGCTATTAGAATGCATTGATTTTCAAGGTAAAATGTTCTTTTATTGAACAGTGAGTTTTGATCGCACAGGATGAAACGTATACCAATATAATCTGTGGACTCTCAGGGCTCGTCATTATAAATGGCCCGCTGGCCCGGAAGCATTATTAAGGCCTCCTTCACACGGGAACGTTTGCGTTTATGCACAGTATGCGTATTCAAAAAAGTCTTCCGTTCACATGCATTCGTTTCATTTAACGTGTCTGTTCAAACGAGACCGCTGGAAACGCTGTAGTACATATGCCGGGACTGTAAGTGGCGCTGTAACTTCCGCCAAAATACACCAAAAGCAGCGAAGAAGAGTAGCCCGGAGCAGCCCCGCAGCAATGTTGCCATGGCTACCCTTCTGTTTATGCCCCGCGGTGTATTTAGCAACATGTAGTTCATGTAATTCTCCATGTCCACTTGTTGCTGTAGATTTTGCACTAATATCTGTAGCATGGTCAGTAGCAGTAGCACTAGCAGTAGCTACTGACAGGAGGAAGTGTGTGTGGTGATTGCTGGTATTCAGCGGGATATAGTAATTTCCTCAGCATATGGATAAATGCAACGGGGAAGTTAACTGAAAGAAACCGAATCTGTGGATATTGCATCGACCGACCAAGAAGCACGTCTCCGTGGAGAGGACGCGCTCAGAAAGAGAGATATTCTCTACAAACACCGGGTGAGATCGCTCCTCTGGGACACGCCGGTCCTCTGCCTACAAACATTTCTCTTTTTGCCGCCGACGGGCGCAGGAGCAATGAACAATAATGGCCTGGATTAGGAAGTAAAGACAAGTTTGGTGTATCGCAGAGCGGACTGTTTAATTTTGTTTGTGTTGTTTGGCTGGAAAATTGTCAATATAATGGATCAATGCATGAAATCTGACTCTGTTTATTTTGTTTAAGGAGTATATTGGGCGTTAACAATTCTGGTTTGCCTTTTATAATATTATTTCATTCAAGAACCCCTGCTGGTATTCAGCGGGATATAGTCATTTCCTCAGCATATGGATAAATGCAACGGGGAAGTTAACTGAAAGAAACCAAGAAGCACGTCTCTGTGGATATTGCATCGAGAGGACGGCTCAGAAAGAGAGATATTCTCTACAAACACCGGGTGAGATGCACCTTTGTCAATATAATGGATCAATGCATGAAATCTGACTCTGTTTATTTTGTTTAAGGAGTATATTGGGCGTTAACAATTCTGGTTTGCCTTTTATAATATTATTTCATTCAAGAACCCCTTGTGCGTTTAATTAACACAGCTATTTTTGATGGTTGCTACAGCAGTGAGCAGGAGAGGTGGGGCTATCGTTATTTTTTCAGGAAATATTCGTATAGAGTTGATTACACGGACTCGGTTGACCCCCCAGAGCGTTTCGTTTGCAAATCTATCCACCTTGGGACCCGTTATCGTTTGTGGGGTCAGTTTCTATCGGCCTCCTGTAAATAATAGGGCTATACGCACGCGAAACTATGCAGATACAAGCAGTTTTCTCCTCGTGTAAACGGCGCCTTAGACACCGCGGCCAGCATAACGTACTTTCAACTCGCCCCACAGCTGTTTGCTGCGGAGCGCAGCGCGAGCAGTCTCCCGCACTCCTTCAATACAGACTGTCTCTCTCTCTCTCTCTCTCTCTCTCTCTCTCTCTATCTATAACTATCTATCAATATATCTATCCATCTATCTCTCTCTCTCTCAATCTATCTCTCAATCTATAAGGAACCGCAGTAGAGAAAAGGCGTTGCTATAGCAACACGTCATGTTTATATGAAAAGGGGTGGGGTCAATATGACCCGCTGGGCGGAAATAGATAAACGGCAATTTTTTGGGCGATTTCTTCAATCTGACTTCATATTGACAATTTTTAACAACATAGGGTGCTACATAACACACTTTCAGGAAAAGTCACGGACTGGAAGACTTTAATATTTTATTGAAAAAAAGTTACACACAATAAAAAACAGCTCTGGGTCAAATTGGCCCGATTGGCGGTTCTAGTGTTAAAATTATGAATCCATTTATTTTATTGTATTTCCTTGAGGCTGGGGAAGATATCCAGCATGTAGTTCAACATGCAAATGTTCTAATCAGGGTTCATACACTTTTTCACCAATGCTTCTCCATGACTTCTCCATGACCTATACCTATTTTCCATGACCAAAAACATTACTCTGTCTCAGCGGTACCACTGAAAATGGTTTATTTTAACATGGATAAGGGAATGCTCTGGTTTTTGGACAAAATTAACATGGGATCACTCCCGTCACCGGACGTACTTCGTCTCACTGGAATAGTAACGGTCATAGTGAATATAAAATCGTCCCCATGTATCCGGCCAATGACGGGAGAGTTTTGAAAGAGACAAAACACTGTTCCATACATTTAAAAACACTTAAACAATTAAACAATGTTTACCCCAGGATTCTGGCCTCTTCCCTGGCTTGTAAAGTGCAGTTATGCGCCATGGAGGTATTCTGATATTTTCAAAATGTAGCACTTTCACACTTTCACAGGGAATAGCGGAGTTATGGCAGAGGGTCAGATTCTGAAAATACGATTTGAGAACAGGGCTCTGATCAGGGCTAAAGTCTTGTTAGAAACTGGTGAATCTGTTTAAATGCAGGGAGCATAGGCACTGCTTTTAGCAGGGTCTCAGAGAGCCATAGACCCAGGGTACAGCACATCGCTTTCTTACCCATAAAACAGGGCTCTGATCAGGGCTAAAGTAATGTTAGAAACTGGTGAATCTGTTTAAATGCAGGCACCTGCATTCACACCTCCAGGGCGGAGACCGGGAAAACCAACTCTCTTTGCCCGCTCACAGAGCCCCGAAGGACGGACTCGAGACCTCCAGCATGTCCCCATAACAGTGGGACTCTGTTTCTTTCACAGCTCCAGCAGAGACCAGGGGAAAATCACCTCTCTCTGCCCGCTCACAGAGCACCGAAGGACGGCCTCGAGACCTCCAGCATGTCCCCATAACAGTGGGACTCTGTTTCTTTCACAGCTCCAGCAGAGACCAGGGGAAAATCACCTCTCTCTGCCCGCACACAGAGCCCCGAAGGACGGACTCGAGACCTCCAGCATGTCCCCATAACAGTGGGACTCTGTTTCTTTCACAGCTCCAGCAGAGACCAGGGGAAAATCACCTCTCTCTGCCCGCTCACAGAGCACCGAAGGACGGACTCGAGACCTCCAGCATGTCCCCATAACAGTGGGACTCTGTTTCTTTCACAGCTCCAGCAGAGACCAGGGGAAAATCACCTCTCTCTGCCCGCTCACAGAGCACCGAAGGACGGACTCGAGACCTCCAGCATGTCCCCATAACAGTGGGACTCTGTTTCTTTCACAGCTCCAGCAGAGACCAGGGGAAAATCACCTCTCTCTGCCCGCTCACAGAGCACCGAAGGACGGACTCGAGACCTCCAGCATGTCCCCATAACAGTGGGACTCTGTTTCTTTCACAGCTCCAGCAGAGACCAGGGGAAAATCACCTCTCTCTGCCCGCTCACAGAGCACCGAAGGACGGACTCGAGACCTCCAGCATGTCCCCATAACAGTGGGACTCTGTTTCTTTCACAGCTCCAGCAGAGACCAGGGGAAAATCACCTCTCTCTGCCCGCTCACAGAGCACCGAAGGACGGACTCGAGACCTCCAGCATGTCCCCATAACAGTGGGACTCTGTTTCTTTCACAGCTCCAGCAGAGACCAGGGAAAATCACCTCTCTCTGCCCGCTCACAGAGCACCGAAGGACGGACTCGAGACCTCCAGCATGTCCCCATAACAGTGGGACTCTGTTTCTTTCACAGCTCCAGCAGAGACCAGGGAAAATCACCTCTCTCTGCCCGCTCACAGAGCACCGAAGGACGGACTCGAGACCTCCAGCATGTCCCCATAACAGTGGGACTCTGTTTCTTTCACAGCTCCAGCAGAGACCAGGGGAAAATCACCTCTCTCTGCCCGCTCACAGAGCACCGAAGGACGGACTCGAGACCTCCAGCATGTCCCCCATAACAGTGGGACTCTGTTTCTTTCACAGCTCCAGCAGAGACCAGGGGAAAATCACCTCTCTCTGCCCGCTCACAGAGCACCGAAGGACGGACTCGAGACCTCCAGCATGTCCCCATAACAGTGGGACTCTGTTTCTTTCACAGCTCCAGCAGAGACCAGGGGAAAATCACCTCTCTCTGCCCGCTCACAGAGCACCGAAGGACGGACTCGAGACCCTCCAGCATGTCCCCATAACAGTGGGACTCTGTTTCTTTCACAGCTCCAGCAGAGACCAGGGGAAAATCACCTCTCTCTGCCCGCTTACAGAGCACCGAAGGACGGACTCGAGACCTCCAGCATGTCCCTAACAGGGGGACCTCCATAACCTTGCACACCCTGAGTCCCCGGGCCCCCACAGTTAAGCACTCCCCCACGGACTAAACACAGGTATTCACACCCACCAGAACCTCGTGCCCCTGGTGACCTTACAAGGGGGTGGTTTTATGGTGCTTCTGTGTCCGCCCATCAGCATCCATATTCGGCCTTCTTCACGGCATCACCCCCCCCTTCTGTGGAGGGTATTCTCGTGCCCCTGGTGGCCTTACAAGGGGGTGGTTTTTATGGTGCTTCTGTGTCCGCCCATCAGCATCCATATTCGGCCTTCTTCACGGCATCACCCCCCTTCTGTGGAGGGTATTCTCGTGCCCCTGGTGGTCTTACAAGGGGGTGGTTTTATGGTGCTTCTGTGTCCGCCCATCAGCATCCATATTCGGCCTTCTTCACGGCATCACCCCCCCTTCTGTGGAGGGTGTTTCTCGTGCCCCTGGTGACCTTACAAGGGGGTGGTTTTATGGTGCTTCTGTGTCCGCCCATCAGCATCCATATTCGGCCTTCTTCACGGCATCACCCCCCCTTCTGGGCTGGAGGTTCAAACACTTTAACTTTTGTTCACCCTCCTCTGGCTTACACCTCCTCCGCCAACACTTGAGCGCTCATCACAGGGTTCAGCACCAAGGAGAGTGCCTCCCCGGTGCTGATGGAAAGTGGCACTTTTTCTGCCCCTGGTAACCATCAAGGTTATTGTTTTTTTTTTTTTTTTTTATTTTATTTGAACAAAAAACCACAGTTGACAGTACAGAGAGGCTAAAACATAAACTATTTACACGTACTACTGCTACTATAACAGTACTACTAAATTTCTTAACCTACGTTTTAAAGTGCAGTTATGCGCCCTGGAGGTGTTGCACTATTAACCAAAATGTATGCCCAGGATTCTGGCACCTTCCCTGGCTTGTAAAGTGCAGTTATGCGCCCTGGAGATATTGTACTATTTACAAAATGTATACACAGGATTATAATAATAATTATATACACGGTATACATATTCACAATGTTTAGCGGGATTCAGGGGACCAAATTAGGCGTCTAATTCTTACGGTGCACCAGGGCAAACAGGTTGAGTCCACGGCCCCTGCCCCATCATCAGGAGTGTCAACCAGCCCCGGTCCCGACTTCATTGGCCTCTTTCCCTCCCGCTTCCGCTTACCGCTGCTGCTGCCGCTCCAATGACCCATCAGGTGAAGATGATAGAGCTGTACTGTTATAGCAGCCCTCTTCGGAGGTCTCCCCATCTGACAGCGGTAGACATCCTTCTGATGATGATGCAGCTGCTGCCGCATCTGATGACGCCCTGAACATGGGAGCGGATTCTCAATGCCTCCTTTATACCTGGCGCATTCGCGTAGAACCGGTCCGCCGTGGTTACGTCGTGACACATAAACCTGGCGAGAATCGACCGGCTTTCTGGATCTTGGTGATGCTTGATATTGTCAGCCAGGGCAGTGCGCAGGATTGTGAAGGTGACGGCTGTTTCTAGCCCAGCATCAGCCCATGCCCTCTTCAAGTGAGCGTTCAGGTTCTTGGAGGCCCGATTCCCCCTTGTGAAAAGGAAGAATTCATTCTGAGGACCCAGCAATGCCTCTTTAATCCCCATCCACCGCATGACCCAGCTAAACTCCTCTACTGTAAGC